AGTTGAAGAAATTAAAAGATGATTAATGGATAAACATTAAAGATGATGACGAACTTAAAAAGATATTGGAATAAATTTAATGAAAGGTCTGATTCCCTTTCTAAAATAATTGAATCAGTAGTGCCTTCTAAAATGATGATACAACAGTCTTACCTTCAGGAAAGGACTATAAACTCCTTAAAAGAACCGTAAAGTCACTCTATCAGGTGGTTCTTGAGAAAACTAAGGACTACTGGTGACACCGTCTCTCAAAGCAAACCTACATATACATTACCCTCTTTAGGTAAAGGCTTTATATATTGTTCCTTATAAACTTCTGTCGCAGTGAGAAAGGAATCGTATTTAGCCTAACTTGACATTTCTAAGAAGGGCTTTGGGAACTTAGGGCTTTTTACCTTATGTATAATGGGTTGTAGAATATTATTTTTATTTTTTTGCTAGATTTTTTCTGCGATAAATGGGTCATTGAAAATTTCTTCCAATTCGTCACGATTTTACTGGAAGTATTTCACAATAAATGAGTCATTGCCATATACACGTCCATATCATTTTTGATCTTTTTCGTGTAGGCGTTTGCATAGTGAACATTCTTAATATGCTTTCTGATTAAAGTATACTTCTGTAAAACTAGATTTGCATATTTTTTTAACACATCATAATCTACAATTATTTTTTTCTGATTATTTATTTTTTCTATACTAAGTATACGGGGTCTTACTTCATATCTCGAACTAGTAGGCAGTTGAACTCTGACATCATTGAGATCATTCCACCCATTATCTAGTGAGAATTGAAGTATGCGCTTTACGCGGTCTTTTTTCACAGAACTGATGAAGCGGAGATTAAAATTTCGACCAGACAATTCCATATCAATAAATTTTCCATATTTTTCTCCAGTTAATTTATACACTAATTCTGTAAATTCTTTGAGTTCTAGATAATCAATAAGAAGAGTTGGTACATATAAAAGGTGGTAATTGCATTTGCTAGAGTTAGATGATATCGCAATTATTAATTCTTTAAAAATCTCTTCCCAACTGCAATCAAGTATTGTATATAATGTTTTTACAAACGAGCAACAAATACGAATAAACACATCCCTTGCTTTAATGTCTTTAGCTTCCATATATTCTTGAGAAGCATCTTTAATGATAACAGCTCTTAAAGATCGTTATCTATTAATACATTCATGTACCCCAGGTAAATCATATACTTCAGAAATATCATCTATAATTAAGAATTTATCTGCTAACTCCTCTCTTTTATATACATCGAGTAGACTGATTCCTTCTTTTGCTCTGTAATTAAGTAATAGATAATCCCATAGATATATATCTTCTAATGATCCCTTATTATTTGACATATCTCTAGTGAGCGAGGAAGCAATTCCACAAATTCTATTTAATAGATCTATCTGGATAAATTTATTATCAAACTTTTCTTGCCTTCTAGAATATGTGGGGTCTACTTAATCTGTGAAAGTTGTCAAATTAGACATTTGTTCTTCTACTTTAGAGAGATAGGATACTGGGAGCTTGATAGTACTTGTTTCGGTATCTGACTCATAGTCGAAGCCATAGTCACTACAATTTCCTGATTCACATTTGGATATATTATCACTAAAATTATCTGAATCACTTGAATAGTCATTGCTTTTTCCACCCCCGTACTAGATCACTTGTGCATTTTGCTTACTTATTTTGGTATTTGGTTTTTTTTATGCTATAATAGAATTGATAGTATATTATTCACAAGAAAAAAGTTTAAAATGAAAATTAATTCCAGAGTATAATTATCAATATCTTTATTAACTAGTATATAGTTATGGCATTTTATTGTTGTCTCTATATTCTTAGAACTGGAGAAGTTTGTAATCGAGGTTGCTATCGGGCCGAAGGGTATAAAGTTCATTGGGATACTCCCATGCATATACCTTACAAAGAGTGTGGTAAGTTGACCTTTTCTACTTATGACTTTTGTGATACCCATGCTAAAAAATATTGAGCAAGGACAGGTTATCATAGGAAAAAGTTTGAGAAATTAGGTCAGGTATAAATATGATAAGTGATATATATTGAGTTTTCGATGCGAGAATGTAAATAGGTGTGATAGAGATAAAGAAAACTTTGTGGTGTAATCTTCAGATATATTATATATAAAAATAGAAGAACATATCACTTTTCGATAACATGTTTTCGGGGTAGGTAACTTTGGTAACTCTACATAGTAGAGAGAAAAATGGGAGTTATATATCTATCTGATGATATATTTTCAGGTATGCGATCGGGTATATTTTCAGGATATATAACTTCAGCATTTTTAACCATTGTATCAAAAAAAATGTGTCAGTTTTAGTCGAATAGATATAAAGGGCTACGAACTTGATAGATGAATAATTTTGAATTCAAGTGTAGTAATCTTCAGAATTATTATATATATAAAATGAAAGAACACTATACTTTTAGTATATATACTTTCGGATATGTTTTCTCATATGTAAATGAGTTTGATAACATTTATAAGATATACATCTGCCTTCTTACAAATATACTTGAAGTATCTCATAATTCTTTTTTGTGCATTTGATCGAAGTTTATCATAGTGTTCTCTAATATGCAATAAACTCTGACCAGAGGTTGAAACAGTTGATATATCACATTTAATATATGGTATTACTCCTCAATAGTTAGTAATTCTATATGTCGGGTGTAGTAATCTGGGATTTATTATATATATAAAATAGCAGAACACTACACTTTTCGATGATATGTTTTTGGATATGTGATTATGGTATATAAGTTCAGTAATATTATATAAGAAAAATTGAAGTTATATACCTGTTTCGATGATATGTTTTCGGGTATGTGCTTGGGGTAAGTATCTTCAGTAATATACATCTGCCTTCTTACATATATGCTTGAAGATAACTTACTTTTTTCGTCACTTGTTTCATATCGGGCTCTTAAATATATATCTAACTGATAGCATACCCAATAATGTGTATATAGCATAGTCGATAGTATTCCTTGATAATAACTCGATAGCATTTATGTGATATTCTAAGATAGCATGACCCAATAACACCTCACTTTTTTATATCTTTAAGTATGACGACGGTGGCTAATTTTTGTTATCAGACCGCATATCTGATAGAAAACAACCTAAGTGCATGTACTCTCCAACATAACCTACTTCGGGAAGCCCCTTACATTCGAAATCAAATATAGTTACCATATATTATACAATTTTAGATAACGAATTTAAAAATCTAGAAGCTTTAAAACATTATACAGAGTAGTCGCCACCAACTAGTATAACCTAATTCGAAGAGCATCTTAGTTTTAAAATTAACCGTGATCGCTAAATTGATATACATTGTGTCATATGTGATCTGATGACAGAAATCAACCAGACCACTATTCCAATATATGTCAGTTCGAATGTGGCTTAAAAAATAAATCATGCCACCATCGAGTGTGGCCTAAAAAATGAATCACGCCACATACCTGAGTAGAAATAACCTAGACTAAGTGGGAACAATATAATTATGTTGTTCCCACTATTCTTCTATTTTATATATTTAGCAAATATTCAATAACACTCTTGCTGTTCATTTGTAAAAGCGATTAGTGTTAAATTTAAAATTTCTTGAAAAGTATTATATTGATTTTGGAGTTAAATAATTCTTTAATCGATTGGTTGATTATTTTGCATTATTTTCTGAAGTCTATTTGCAGATGTTAAAATTAATTCAAGTTTTCTTAAAATAGTATCTCAACTAAAAGGTACTTGAATTCGATTTTGAAAATATAATTTAATATCACCTAGATGTTTTTGGATATCATCATAATTTTGCCTAATTTCTATTGCAAATGGTTGTGATAACCTTTGGATTATATCTGTATTATCTTCTAATATATTCCTATGTGAACATATTTCATGTATTCTGATTTTTAACCAATTTATTTCATTTTCAAGATTAATTAATTCTTGTTCTAAACATAGAATATATAATTCTTTTTTCTTGACATCTTCTAATACTATTCTAAGATATTTTTTTTAGATTTAAGATCTGGGATTTTAATTCTTGAATCTCTGTTTCCTGTGCTATAATAGTGTTATCCTGAAATGATATAGTTTTGTTGCATTGCTCTAACTCATAAAGATATTTTCAAATTTTTTTCTTATTAAGTATATTAATATTTATCTCAAAGTTAAATTTATCTCTCAAAACTTGATTAGTTTCTAACATCTCAATGTGTGCTAGATCCATGAAAAATCTTGTTATCTATATTAAATCAAAGTAATATATGAACTTGTAATTTATATTGATTTGCAAAAAGTCCGTGAACTTGATATTAGTATCGATTTGTAAAAAATCTATTATCATCCTTTTGAATATCAAAGGACTAGTAAAAAACTTTATGAAATTTTATAAAAAGCCAAATTCAATTTTATATTGGCTGAAGTAAATAATTAGCTTGAAAGACAAGCTTTATATCAAATTTATATGTCTCGTCTAAAGTTTATTCCTTGTGTAAATTTCAACAATATTACTGTTCCGTTCGAAGTTTTACAAGCTGATATTCTTTATATACCATATGATAAAGTAGGGGATATAACTTATATGTTTTGTCTTACATGTGTTAACGTTGGTTCTTGTTATAAATGGGTAGAACCAATTGGAACTTATCTTGATATCTTAAATATGAAAGACTTTTCTTTAGAAGGTATTTTAACTTTAGCTATAGTTGCGAAAACTTTTGAAAGAATGTTTTTTGATAATCTGAAATGTTTTATTAAATGGAATATGATAAAATTAGTAATGACTGATAAGAGCTTTGAATTTAAAGACGATTTTAAAAAACTCTTAAAAAAGTATAATGTAAAAAATCAGAAAGTTAAATTTAAGTTTATTATGGATATTGTTGAAAATTTTAATGGAATTTTTGCTAAGAAATTATTTCGAATTCAAGATGCACATAAATTATTATTACCTTTACCCGAAAGATCAAAAGGTTAGGTAAAAAATCGATTTATTGTTCTATGGATATTAAATAATACTATAACCCGATTAATTGGAATGATACCTAATAAAGCTAAAAAAAAGAAACATGTATATGTTAAATCTTCCAAACCTCAAAATGGTCCTATAGGATTTGATGAAGAAAGATTACCCTATGATGTTTCTATTAGATATTTACTTAAGCCTAGTGAATTATAAGGTGGTAAAAGAAGAAATACCAATTGTGATTGGTCTCCTCAAACTTATTCCATTAAAGAATCGTTAATACGAAAAAATTAATCAATATTATATTGGTTAATTGATGAAAATGATAATGGGCTCAAGAGATCATTTGTTTGTAAAGAATTATTAAAAATATCTAAAGATAGTATGCTTCCATCTTAGTGAGTACTTAAACAATATTAAATTTCTAGACTGTGAATTCTTTGAAGAATTTTATCTACTTCTTCCTTGGATCTTTTTTTTATAACTTCTTCTTAGTTAGTCAGTTTGAGATATAATTTATATAAATTTTCAAGACTAACATATACTTCTTCATTATACCAATCTTTGAAATCTACCATTCTTTCATTATAAGTTTTCTCATCTGGGATACATTGTTTTACAACATATCTAACATGATTTTCTGGATCTCTTTTTTGCTGTAATATTTTAAGATAGTTTATATATAATGCTCCTAATTTGTCATATTTTTTTGGTACCTTAGCTATATGTAACTCTAATCACTTTAACTAAAGCAAATTTGATATTTTTATAATTTGTCATTTTGAATATTGTATTTTTTATTATATGTTACTTTATTCAGTACTTTTGTTTAAATAAAAAATATTTCTTTTACTTATGTCTAAAAAATATACCTGTGATTATATACACAACTCTGATAAAATTTGCGGATGTGGATGTTGACGTTCTGAAGGATGCTATGAATATTAAAGATCTAAAAAACACGTTGTTACCATGGATTTCTTTCACTTTCATAATTTCTTATTATTTTATTTTATTCTTATTTGTATTTATTTTATTAGTATAGTTATTTAATATATTTTAGTATATTTAGTATATTAGTATTTATTTATTTAGTAGCATAATACGAATTATGTAAATCAATAATGTAGATCATAGTGGCCCAGTTACTG